ATCCTTCCTTCCTTTCCTTCCATCCTTCGTTCCTTCCATCCATCCTTTGTTCCTTCCTTCCATCCTTCGTTCCTTCTATCCATCCTTCCTTTCCTTCCTCCCTCACCCAAATCCCTTCTAGCACTGATGACATTGCCTAGTTGGGTTATGAGACGTCTGCAAGAAAACCACCGAGCTTGAAGAGCACTGAGGACCAACCCTGAGCTACAAACATTCTCTCTTCTATCAGTAATTCTTTGGCATTGATTGGCTTGAACATTTTCAATTAAAAATTGGAAAGAGGCGACAAAAAATTGGGGGGTGGGGGAGAGAGCTGACGACCTCACAACTGTTCTGCCTTTTCTTCTTCTGGCTGAATGTCCTTTGGAAGGCTGCTACCCCCTTGTCCTTGGGCAGGTGGGACCAATTGTTTTAAGAGCCGGGGTCCTCTCACAAAGGTAAGAGCTATGGAGGAGAGAAAGGGAGGGAAAAAAATGGGGATATATCACCCAAAACGTACCCAGGACCCCTTCTCGCCTGGGTCACCCTTGAGACCTGATTCCCCCTGAAAGAAACCAAAAATAAGATGTTAGAAAACAAGGGAAGACTCTCTCTCTCTCTCTTTCTCCCTGGCTCTTTGCTGAAAAGGAGTTGGACTACAACTCCCATCACTCCTGGCCAGGTAGGACGGGGGAAATGGGCACTGTAAGAGGTGGTCCATACTGTATTTGAGGACAGCAAGATTCAAGAGAATATCCACATTTCTCTTTCTTGGAGAAAGGGTATATAGGACAGTGTGTCAACTCCTAAAATATTTCTATAGTCTTTTTAGAGTGGCCAACAGAAAGGGGGGGTGGGGAGCAGTGAGGCAGCTTGGAAACCAAAAGTGCATTCCGTAGTTTTTCAAAGATAGTAACTAGGAGACCGAAGTTTCTATTTTGCAAAATTCTAATTGGAGAACATGATTGATGACTCTGGGCTATGGATGTGTCCCATTGGAGAATATGAATTACGATACACCCAGAGGGGTGGGGGGGAAACCAAGGTCAAGGGTGACAATGAATTATGTGTCTCAGAGTCAGCTACACCCGGGCAGTGCTGGACATGTTTACTCCTAATAAATCCTTTGGAAGTTTTGGAAGTTTTGCTCGAGACTCATGATTTAATTGGAGGGTAACTGCCAGAATCCTGAAAGAGTGTTTCTCAACCCTGGCAACTTTAACAACAGAAATTTTGGTCTCAGTGGCGGCCGTAAATCAAGATCTACCTATACTAGGTATCACAACAGACTTGAAGGACATGCACGGACCAAGATGCTTGTCAGCCTTCAAGACTCCTTTCTTTCGCTAACTTTTCAGCTGCCATAGTAACGGGGGGAGGGTGAATCAATTGGGCTTTGTGGGGTGGGAAGTGTGCTGGAGGCTTTAGAGAATGAGCTGTATAACTTGGGGAAAACTTTATTGTTTATGCTTCCTTGCTTGCTTACTGCGCAACTGCAGCTCTTTATCAAACCAGGCCAAGGTCAGATGTCTGCATCACCACCTGAAGATGCCCCACATGACACTATATACATCTTCAATTGGATGGACTGTTTGAACTATTGTGGGTGGAAACATTGCCATAACTTTGTATACAGTATGTGATTTCCATGCCTAAATTCTCAGATCTAAAATTCTTTTGATGCTACCACTTGATTTCCAGTAAAAGTCCTTTTCTCTATAACAATGGAGTCTAAGGGTATTGTTAGGTATAACATTGATACCCAACAAGGTTTGGGTGGATAAATATATAAACTAAGGTATCATAGTTTAAGTGTTTGTAACTTTAAGCACCACACTGCATGTAATTAGCCAATTAAGGGTGCGGTTAGAAACTGCAATAAGAGGAAGCAGGAGAAAGCTTACTGACTACTGCCTATTGCCTACTGCCTACTGTTTTACTGATTACTGTTTGCTGTTTACTACTGTTTTACTGCGACTGTCTACTGTTTGATTGTTCTACTGAATATCCAGCGTTATCCTCTGGAGAAAGGCATCGGAGGAGGAGAAGATATCTTTATCGGCTGATAAAGATATAGTAAGGACTATTATCTGGACTGAGTTAATGAGTCTTACTGAATGGATATATTGTGAATGACATACGGACTGATTGACAATGCTTAAACTCTAACTGGATTAAAAACTATTTAAACTACAAACAGTGTTTGTGTTCAGTGTGTGTATACTCTAAAACCCTTCATCTCTCATTTGGCTGCCTGGCTTGACTGCTGCTGCATACTCTGCTAGGGGTTTATCCCCAAACACTAACAGGTATCTTTCTTGGATTTTGAATGGAGCACCATCTGACAATGCAACATGAAGTCAGTTGTTCATTTGGGCGTCAGGAAGGAAAACTATTTGATGTAGCTCACCCATCTTTGTTTCAGGGGTACATGGCTTGGGATCCCCAACTTCCCCAGATAGCCAAACTGGAAACTCACCTTCTCGCCTTTCGGTCCAAGGGTACCAGCAGCTCCGTCAGTACCTGGTGATCCTGGAATTCCCTGGAAGAAATTATCCCATGGTCTCAGACTAGGGGCTGGAATTCCATCCTTCTTCCCAAAAGGGAATTCCTTTCAGGTTCCCAAATTCTCTTCCTGGAGAGACGGTTGGTCTACTTACGTCACGGCCCGGAGAGCCTGGTTTTCCAGCAGGTCCTGGAGGACCTAGAAAGAGAAGAAAAATAAGCACATCTTGGTCAACCTTCTACTTCTACTGAACGGTTGTTGACAGGAAAGGGGGCTGAAGATGATTTGTGGGAATCGAAGTCCGCACACTTCTTATCCGCGCCTCTTAAAGTTGTCAAGGTTGGGAAAACCCTAGCCAAGTCTGGAAGAATGTAGTTTGCGGGTTGGCAACCTTAAACACTGTTCAATTCTGGAGCCGACCGGAAGTCCGGTTCCATCACTATAGAGCAGTAATGGCGAACCTTTTTGTTGTGGTATGCTGAAAGCATGCGCACACCGGTACCCACAATGCACTGCGGGGGGGGGGGGCTGCACATGTGCGTGCAATACTGCCTTCCCCCTGCACTGTGCATGCGCGCACCTCCCAGCTGATTTTCAGCCCATTTGAGGCCTTTTTCGCCCTCTTGCACTCTCAGGAGGTCGAAAAATGGGCCTTCCAGAAATATCGGAAGTGCTGAAATGGGCCTGTTTTTCAGCCACCAAAGGCTGCAGAGGCTTCCCCTGAGCTCCAGAGGCCCTGCGGAAGCTGAAAATGGGCACTTCCGGTATTTCTGGAAGACCCTTTTTTTGGCCTCCTGAAGCTACAGAGGCTTCCCTTGAGCCTCTGGGAGGCCAAAAATGGCCTCAAACGGGTCAAAAATCAGCTGGGAGGTGCAAATTGTGGCACTGACCAGCAACAGGGAGCCGCAGCAGAGGGATGAAAGAGCCACATGCGGCTCCAGAGCCGCAGGTTGCTGACTCCTGATCTAGTTCTAATGTTCAATGATTGAAGCGTCCTGAAGAGGTCTCACTTACTTGGGTCATCCCCACTGATGACGGAGAGCTGTGGTTGTCCCCTTGCCTCTGGACGCCTGGCTTTCATTTATTAAGGTAATATATTTGCCCAGAAACCAGGTTCCTAGGCAGCTTAAAAAATGTTTATTGCCCCATTATTGTACACCCAAAAGCCATTAAGACTTTTACAATCGGTATTTCCAGACAGGTTGGGGATGTGACCATTCTTACCTGTTGGGCCCGGAAGTCCCGGAGGTCCAGCTGGACCAGTTACAGCCGTTTCTGGGAAGGAGTTGGAGAGAAGCAAATCTCCTAAGACATAAGAGAAAAGAAAGACCATGAAGAACCTCTCATTGAGAGCACCCATGTATATTCTCCTTCTCCTCTCTCTCTTCTCTTTCTTCCCCTTTCTCTCTCCTCTCCTATCTTCTCCCTCCCTCCCACTCTTCTCTCTCTCTTTCCCTTTCTCTCTTCTCTCCTTCTCCTCTTTCTCTCTCCCTCCTCCCTCTCTTCTCTCTCTCTTCTCTTTCCCTCCCTCCTCTCTCTCTTCTTTCTTCCCCTTTCTCTCTCCTCTATCTTCTCCCTCCCTCCCTCCCACTCTCTTCTCTCTCCCTCTCCCTTTCTCTCTCCTCTCCTTCTGCTATCTTCTCCCTCCCTCCCACTTCTCTCTCTCCCCCCTTTTATCTCCTCTCCTTCTCCTCTCTTTCTCCCTTCCTTCCTCCTCTCTCCCCCTTCTCTCCTTTTCCTATCTTCTCCCTCCCTCTCACTCTCTTCTCTCTCTCCCTTTTTATCTCCTCTCCTTCTCCTCTTTCTCCCTCCCTCCCTCCTCCCTCTCTTTTCTCTCTCTTCCCTCCCTTCTCTCTCCCCCTCCTCTCTTCTCTCCTTCACCTATATTCTCCCTCCCTCCCCCTCCCTTTCTCTCCCTTTTCTCTCTCTCCTTCCCTCCTCTCTCTCTCTCTCTCCCTCTGCACATAAACAATTATAGGAAAGCTCTGAGATGCATGGACTACAACTCCCAGCATTCCCCAGCCAGCTTTACTTGGATTTTACCTTGATCTGGGATTGGTGAAATTTGGGGCCCGACTGGAGCCGGGGGTCCCGGAGGTCCCGGGGGTCCTGGGAGACCCTTCTCACCAGGAAAGCCCCTGGCCCCATCTTGTCCTGGTGGACCAGGTGGACCTACAGGACCTGGAAGAAATAAAGGCAGACAGTGGAGAAGGATGAGCCCAAGCAAGGCAACTCACTACGCTGTGGTGGCGCAGTGGTTAGAGTGCAGCATTGCAGGCTAATTCTGCCAACTGCCAGCAGTTCGATCCTGACCGGCTCAAGGTGGACTCAGTCATCCATTCTTCCAAGGTGAGTAAAATGGGGACCCAGATTGTTGAGAGCAAGAGGCTGACTCTGTAAACTGCTTAGAGAGGGCTGTAAGCACCATGAAGCGGTATATAAGTCTAAGGGCTATTGCTATTGCTTTGCTCTTGCTTTTCTCCTTCCTTCCTTCCTTCCTTCCTTCCTTCCTTCCTTCCTTCCTTCCTTCCTTCCTTTCTTCTTTCCTTGGCTCCTTCCTTCTCTCCCTCCCTCTCTCCTTTCCTTCCTTCTTTCCTTCCTTCCTTCCTTCCTTCTCTCCCTCCCTCTCTCCTTTCCTTCCTTCCTTCCTTCCTTCCTTCCTTCCCTTCCCTTCCCTTCCCTTCCCTTCCCTTCCCTTCCCTTCCCTTCCCTTCCCTTCCCTTCCCTTCCCAGTGGTTAGAATGCAGTATTGCAGGCTAACTCTGCCCACTGTCAAGAGTTTGATCCTGACAAGCTTGAAGTTGACTCCGCCTGCCTGCCTCCCTCCCTCCCTCCCTTCCTGTGCAGTAGTTAGAAAGGAGTATTGCAGGCTAACTCATCTCACTGTTGGCAGTTTGATCCTGACCAGCTCAGAGTTGACTTCCTTCCTTCCAAGGTGGATAAAATGAGGACCCAGATTGTTGGGGGGGGGGGGGGGGCAGGCGGACGCTGTAAAAAAACTTAGAGAGGGCTGGAAAGCACCGTGAAGCGGCCTATAAATCTAAGCCCTATTGCTATTTATTATTATTATTGCTAAGTGCTATAATCACAGCCCTGCCCTGATGTTCACCCAGGAAAGACTCCAAGGGCAGATTTTAATCCATGTTCTTTCGAATCTGAACTGAGATGCTCAAGATTGAAGGGGCAAAACCAGGAAGTGCACCCCATAAGAAGCTTACTTACCCTGCGGTCCAACAGGGCCCTTGACTCCAGGAATGCCCGAAGGGCCCCGGATCCCAGCGTCCCCCTTAGGCCCTATGGGGCCCGGGGGCCCTTGGGAAGCCAATTTTCCTGGAGCACAAAAGAGAGAGAAGGGGAAACTCAGTAAAAGTTTTGCAAGGTTGTCAATTTGGGGGATATCAATCAACGGGATCGTAACTGCAGGAACAAAGAGTCCTCAGATTTCAAGAGTTCTTTTAGTGACCGATGTTTACAGCAGCATTTAAAAAAAATGACCAGTTTTTCAAACTGCTAACTAGAGCATACAAAACATTGGCTAGACCAATACTCGAATACAGCTCATCAGTCTGGAACCCACATTATGTATCTGATATTAACACAGTGGAGAAAGTCCAGAAATATTTCACAAGAAGAGTTCTCCACTCCTCTACTCGTTGTAGAATACCTTATGCCACCGGACTTGAAATTCTAGACCTAGAAAACCTTGAATTACGCCGTCTTCGGTCTGATCTAAGTATAGCATGTAAAATCATACATTGCAATGTCCTACCGGTCAATGAATACTTCAGCTTCAACCACAACAACACAAGAGCAAACAATAGATACAAACTCAGGGTTAACCGCACCAAACTTGATTGCAGGAAATCAAGCCACAGAGTGGTCAATGTCTGGAATACTCTACCTGACTCTGTGGTTTCTTCCCCAATCCCCAAAAACTTTAACCTTAGACTGTCTACTATTGACCTCACCCCTTTCCTAAGAGGTCTGTAGGGGGCCTGCATAAGCGCACCAACGTCCTTGTCCTATTGTTTCTTTTTATTTTTCTTATATGTATCAATTTCATGTATTCATAACTATGTATATACTTATACCTGTTATCTTGTAAGCGATTGACAAATCAAATAAATAAAAAATGAATAAAATGGAGATCAAAATTCAGTGCAACTGGCCTCTACGTGTAATTTATAGCTAATTGAAAGCCGCTGAAGCTTCCCTGATCCAGCTCCCCCAAAAAGTGTCTTTGCTACTAACCAGCCACTTGGGAGGGATGTGTGTGTGGGGGGGGCTACATGGTGATGCAATTAGGAGTTGCAGGGGAAGGGGTTGTAAATTCGGTCCAGGCTGCCTGAAGACCTCTCCCCCAATCGGTCATATTCTTGCATTTGTAGTTGTGGTGGTGTTGTTTTTCTTCTTCGCTGGGCGAGGCGAAGGTGGTCCATTCCCCATCCTCTCCAGAGGAAAATGGAGCAGCCCCCTCCCCTCTTAAACCTCCCCCCTCCCCCCCAAAAAACAGGAGCCCTTGTCCACCCCACACACACCCCTTCCCAGCAACCCCTTTGTGCAAAATGGAGGCCCGGCGGACGATTTTTCTCAGCGCTTACACACCAAACCAGAAGCATATGTTGTGTTGCAGGGAAGGGAGGGGGTAGGGGGTCGTGGGGAGGGGGGGAGATAAACCTTTCCAGCTGCAGAAAATGAAACCAGTGCCGGAGCGGAGAGGAGAGAGTGCCAGATGCCCTGGGCGCAGCCGTCTTCGGTCACAGCCCACTAACAACCCTGGATTTGGGGAGGGGGCCCAGAGGGAGCTGGAGATCATTCTCTGAAATAGATTATTTTCCCCCTCCCCCTTCAGGCCTGTGTTCTGGTTCTGGTTCTTCTATTCCTATTCCATTCCATTCTAAATTTCTCTTCTCTTCTTTTTTTGTTCTTCTTTTCTATTCATATTCCATTCCATTCCATTCTACTCTCCTCTACTGTAGTCTGTATTTCTTTTCTTTTCTCTTCTCTTCTCTTCTTGTTCTTCTAGTCCTATTCCATTCCTATTCCTATTCCTACTCCTATTCTATTGTTTCAGATTCTATTCTATTCTAAATTCTATTCCATTCCTATTCCTATTCTATTATTTCAGATTCTATTCTATTCTATTCTATTCTAAATTCTATTCTATTATATTCTAAATTCTATTCTATTCTATTCCAAATTCTATTCCATTCCTATTCCTATTCTATTATTTCTGAAATATTCTATTCTATTCTATTCTAAATTCTATTCTATTCTAAATTCTATTCTATTCCAAATTCTATTCCATTCCTATTCCATTATTTCTGAAATATTCTATTCTATTCTATTCTAAATTCTATTCTATTCTAAATTCTATTCTATTCCAAATTCTATTCCATTCCTATTCCTATTCTATTATTTCAGATTCTATTCTATTCTATTCTATTCTATTCTATTCAAAATTCTATTCTATTCTATTCTAAATTCTATTCAATTCTAAATTCTATTCAATTCTAAATTCTATTCTATTCTACGATCACGTTGCCATGGCTGCCACCTTGACTTTTTTGAACGCACCACGCAGACACCCATTTCAGGCAGCCTTCCTTCTCCCTCACTCACCCATCCCACGTTCTTCTCCGGGTTTTCCTTGCGTGGCCTGAGAGGGCCACAGATTCAAAGGGTCGGGGGCAGCATCGCCCGAGGCGGTCAAGCATCGTCGAGATACAGCCGAAGGACCGGATTCACCTGCCGTGAACGTTGCTACCTGGGGGCAAAAAAAAGAAAAAGAAAAAAAAGGAACGGATTCAATCATGCAATTGTCCCCCTCCCATGATCCCGCCCCCCCCGGAAGAGGCTTCAGAGAACAGAGGCCCAAAAATACAGCTCCCCCCCCATTGCAGCGGGAGCTCAGAAATACAGTTCTAAATTAAAATTATTGCAAAAGAAAGAAAATAAAAGGCTGACCTTGGCTTCCAGGAGGTTGACTTTTGCCAAAAGCTCAGAGAATTTGCTGCAGTTGAAACAACCTGCGGAGTCCAAACAGAGAAAGGAGTTTTAATGTTTTCTTGGACGAGACAGAAGAAAGGATGATGAAATGCGGTGTTTTCTCTCTCGGGCACTGGAACATCATGCTCCAATATCTCATATTTATCTGTGTATTTCTTTATATTTCAAATTTCTTAATCGCCCATTTTCCTTTCATCCCCTTTCGATCTTGTGTTATCGCAGGGAGCAAACTAAGACGTGCAATTTCTTTGCAATGCTCTTGTTCGTTGGAAATCTTCTTCTATCTTCTTCTTTTATATATATCTATATCTATCTATATCTATATCTATATAATCTATCTATCTACCTATCTAAACGGCTCTGTGTGTGTGTGTGTGTGTGTGTGTGTGTTCGTTCCAGCATAACTCTGGAACGCCTTGAGCAATTTTAATTAAACTTGGTATACAAATTACTTACTCTCTGGAAACAAATACTGTGGGGGTAAGACACCCCTAACACCCCTTGGGGTGTGTGTTCTTGTGGTCTGTTAAAATACAGCCTGTTGTGCCTTCAAATGGCTTCTACCGTTACTGCCTTAAAATGGCTTCTACTGTACAGCGCTGTGGAGTTGCCATGGTAACGGCTTCACAGTACTCTACAAGAGGGCTCTCTCTGGTAAGGGGGGAAAATCCAACATTAGAAATTATGCTTGTTCCAGGTTGCTGAAAACAGGCCTTTTCCTGTCTAATACAGGATTAGGATAAATAAATCCCGGGCAACGGCAGGTTATTGGTTAGTTGGAAATATAAATGTCCTCTGTCTTTTATTTTCATTGTTAGCCTGTCCATCTCTATACAATCTATTAGGGCCTGGGATGCCTGGTAATGAGTGGTTTAGAAATAAAAATAAAATAAAATGGCAATTAGGAAAAGAATGAGGGAATGTGTAAATATGTAAATATACCATGGAGAAGACTGAGATGTAAGGATTAAAAAAATACTGATTTATAGTAAGAGTAAGATATAATGGTAAAGGAATAAGTAAATACATATACTGAAAAATGTGAGGAGATGCAAAAGATGTCTTGATGTTGATAACAATGTATAAAGTTTTATTTTATGTTTTTAAAATTTGGAAACTTAATAAAATTTACTTTTTTTTAAAAAAAAAGGAAATATAAACGTCCCTCACCGGAATATGTTGCAGGTCGGACAGGCAGTCTGCTCAGAGCAGGGATGCCCTGTGAGGCACCTGGAGTATCTTGGTAGCTGACGGTGTCTGAAAAAAAA